AAACTAACAGGGAATTGCAAATACCTTACGAAATTTCCTTGAAGTTCAAGTACAAAGAGCACATCTCTGAGACAGAAATTGATCAACTTCTATCAATATACATATGTGGATGATTTTTATGGCAAATTTACCATTCATCAGTAATGCAATTAAAAACTATTCTAATAAACTTAGAAGTATTATGACAAATGGTATTAGGTGTATTTGTACTGCATATAAAATAAAAAATAAACTTTTTTTAAAAAACCCAGATATCTACAAAAAAATTCTGTTAGGACATGAGAAATTTTCCTGCAAGTAAAACTATCATGTAGATTGTAACAGACACATACTACAAGTAACAGGGAAGAAATAGCTTCACAATTCCAGTCTGGTTTTATTTGTCACTGAAGGGATGGAACACTGGCCCTTAGTCATAATGAGCAGACAGTTTACCACTTAACTACATTATGAATTTCACTCAAGTTTTTTTTTTTTTTTTTGGGGGGGTCTTTTTTGGACAGGGTGTTTCTATGCAGTTCATACTGGCCTTGAGCTCATTTTCTAGCCTAGGTTGGCCTTGAACTGACAGTGATCCTCATGCCTCAGCCTCCCCAGTGCCGGGATTACAGGAATTACCACCACAACCAGCTACTCAAATGGCTTCGATTTACATAAAATATGACAAAAAGCACCTCAGAAGAAAATGTAGGCTAGGTATTTTGGTGCACACTGAGGAGGCTGAGGTGGGAGGATTGCTGTGAGTTCCAGGCCAGATTGAAGTATATAGCAAGACCCTGTCTTAAGAAATTGAAATAACACAGAAGTTGGAGTGAGGAATGCCTCAGAAATAAAATTATAAAGCCACAAATGTTAAAGTGACTTTAAAGATATAAAAACCAATAGGATTTCTATTTAAAAAGAAAATACTTCATAAATTTAACATGCAGATGAAATAATTATGAGAAGGAATGTTGATTCTCTTCAACTGACAAAAAATATTTAAAACAAAACTAAGGATTTCTCAAAATAACCCCTGACAAATATGAAAATATAATATCAGCATATATTTTATGGAAGGACTTACACAGGAAATAAAAAAAGTTCACAGGATGGATACACAAAATACAAAAAAAAGCGAAAAGACAATTAAATTTCTCTATAAATCCATAAAACTTAGTGAATTAGAAAAGCCTATGGTGAGTTGACTATGAGAAATAATAACTACTTCTCCCATCACTCCTGCTGCTCCTGGTGGTATTAGAGGAGATGCTATACATTAAGATTTTTTGATTTTTTAATTAATTTATTTTTTTTGCCAGAACCAGGGATTGAACTCAGGCCCCTGTACTTGCCAGGGAAGTGCTTATTCTACTGAGCTATCTCCTGGCCCCTGTACATTAAGCTTTAAGTGGATACATCCTCCATGCATGAGTAAATAGGCTCCTGAGCCTTGCCCATCTCTGGTATTTTCTCAAATCTGCTTCCAAGGCAGCAAATGAACATGCCTGCACCATTTATACCAGTGACAGGATTAGACAAGCCTGCTTTCCCATAGCCATGGAAAGCCAATTACAGTGTTCTGGAGACAAACAGTGGAAACGTCTCAGGAGTTACATGTACAGTAATACAAATAAATCTGGAAAATAATATTAAATGAATCAAGTAAAGTACAGGATGAACTCACTAACACAGTAGACAGAGATGTCCATTTGTGCACAGCAAACACAGATGTCCCTGAGATGGGTGAGTAGCTCAGGCGTGCAGCACATGCACAATACTCATCAGCCTCTAAGGTCCACCCCCAGCGTAAACAATGTACATCACTATGGTGATGGTGTGTTATCCAGAAGTGATGAGCAGGGGGCCACAGGCATGCTAAGAAGACACACCAACCACAAAGTGGCCAAGCAGAGCACTGGTGCTATCTGGGTCCAACACTTAACTCTTTCTTACCCTTGCTATTTTTTTTATTATTATTATAACTTTCTTTTAGTTTGAAGAGATTTCTTTTAAGGTCTGTCTCTTCTGTTATGTGACACCAAGCAACTTTAGCCTCTACCCATGCTATAAATCTGGCTCGTGTTCTACAGCATGGTTATACCCACAGCTGAGATACATGCACATGTTTTCTGGTGTGCAGAATCATCAGTGCTTGGAAACAAAGACTTAAACAGCTGCCAAAATTCTTTGCACTTCAAACCAAAGTGGAATGAATTACACCACCCACAGGACTCTGTCCTTGTACAATCTCTTCTTGTCTCCACTACCTGCACTACTTCTCAGATGTCATGGATATGAGATCCAGAACCCACTGTACTGCCTGATGCTCTGATAGCACCACTGGGAGATGTACAGGACCTACTAAGAGGAGCCTTGAACCCACAACTGGTGTCTTATCTCAGCTATGCCTTTCTCCATAAGCCACTGCCATGGGTATGGTTAGGTGTCAACACAGAAGTTCTGTGCTCAGTTTGGGGAAGCCAGGAGACACTTTCAGGGAGTTCAGGGTTTAAAGTTCCTTGTCACTTATGGAACATATAACACAGGCCCAGGGTCATCATTTTCCTAAGAGATACAAAGCAGTACAAGGGGGAAAGGGTCTTGGATGCACAAGTGCTGGACACACCTCCCTTCAGTTCACTAATGTGTGGAAGGGGAAATGGGATTATAGGAGTGAACAACCCAGTACACCGAGGGAGAGGTTGATCTAACATTAATGAGGCAGAAGGATTTCAAGAACAACCATAAATTATAATGAGGAATGGAAGTGTTTTTTCTTTATCTTTACACATGTTTGGTGTCTTGTTTTTTCAACTGCTCAGCCCTATATCTTCATTGAAAGGTTCTATCCCATCCCTTTGTCAAGGTAATGTAAGCCAGAGGGGTAATATAAGCCAGTGACTACACTAGGGGACCTTGCTATGCCAAAACAACAATGGGCTGGGGAGATAGCTCAATGGAGTAAGTGCTTGCCTTGTAAGCACAAGGTCCTGAGTTTGATCCCTGGTACCACCAAAAAACAAAAGAAGAAAAAACAAACAAGCCCACATATGGAACTATTGCCAAAACTACTCTTGCCTTTTCAAAAGAGCACTCATCCTATCCTCTCATTAGGTAGCTATGAAGAAGCTGATCAATACAGTACTCAAAACAGTAAACAACCTGATCAAAGTCATGATCTTTTTGGATTTTTTGTTGTTGTTTGGTACTGGGAATCAAACTTGGCCTTGTGCTTGCCAGGCAGGCACTTATGTCCTGAGTTATTTCTCCAGCCCTTACAAAGGACTTCTGAAAGTTGAAGTAATGAGTCTCTGGATGCTACTTGGGTTTGGAAGGAAAAGAATGATGACAAACCCAAAGGAAGCTGAGAGTCCTTCTATTACTGCCGCCCCAGAAACAATATGACCAAAGGGGAAGGAGTTCCCAGTTGCACTTGCCGATTTCACCTCCCTCCAACAAGTCCTGCTCTCCTGTTTCCTTTACTCCTCCTTATTCCAAAAACCCTCTTGCTCCTAATCGTTTATGTCTGTAGACCGTAACAATGGGTTATGTCTCTCCTTTAGTGCTGTTTTTGTACAGTCCATTTCAATCAATATTTCAAATTTAAAAGAAGGTCTACAAGTAGTGCACGAACTATAGCAATTATTTCAGAAACGAGAGCCACTTTTCCCTTTGAGCTACTACCAATATCATCTACATGACCATGCACAAAGTGTGGCTTAATGTTTCTCAATTTGGGTTTAACAGGCAGCTTTTTCAGAACGTTGGCCTTGACCAGAGAGATAGCTCAGTGGTATAGGTATCTGCATGGCAAGTGCAAGATCCAGACTTTGATCCCTGGTACCAAAGTAGAAAGAAAGCTGATCTTACCAAGAACCCCTTCCCTTCCTTTCGAAGTAATTCACATCCCCTCCATTTTTCTACACATTCTAAACTCTGGAAAGCCTCATTGAAATACTCTAACTGTAAAGACTACTTCACTTGGTTACATTATGTACAGGCACCTAGCAAGACAAAACTGAAACAGAGTTGGAAAATAAGCCATATTGGTAAGGGCTATAGAAGCCGAGGGACTAAGATTCTACTTGCTCAGCCACATGAAATGCCTCCTCTCCCTACTACAAGGAGTTGAAGTCACTCCTACTAAACTCCTGATTTTCTAGGAATTTAGAGCATAAAATACCGGTATTTCTCTAAAATCCCAGATTTCCAGCATGAGTTCCAATGGGTCATTTTAAATACAAAGAGTAACCTGTGACAGGTGGCCATTAAACAACAGATTACTGTGCCCTGATATCTGTAAATTGCTCTGGATTGAGCAGGCATGTGGCTACTTAGGACGCTTCCAAGGAATCAGTGTGCTAGTCCCATTTCCAATAAAAATGCTCCACCTCCTTTTTAAATTCAAAACCTCCTTCCAGTGTGGTGAGAACATGAGCTCTGTCTTTTTTAATCACTGAGAGGAGGGGTCTGACATAACTAACAGTGATCGTCTGGGGGGTTCCTGAGTATGGACCGCAGGATTTCACGACCAGCTGGGCAAACACTGCCCGAGTCACAATCTTTGTTCAGTTTCTCACTTAACACCACCTGCGATAACTTCGGAAAATACGGGACATTTAGGAATTCATTGTGTATATAACAAGGCTGAGGTCTGAGAAGATGAGTTGTGAGTACAAGACCCTGCAATGCAGACACTTAAAATATCAGATCCCCTAGGTCTGCTACTAAAAAAAATGAGACCAGGGACCTAGCGCACCCAGCTCCACCCAGCTCCAAGCCCTAGTGTGCACTGCGATCTGCCCAACGCCCAGCCCCTGGGGCTCTCCACAGTCGAACCCCGAACCAGGCCTGAACCAGTGTAGGTCACAAGAAACATAAGCGCCAAGACCTGGAGAACCTCAGGGCTCTCCTGAAGCTAACTGGGAGGCTGTGGCTCCCATGGCTGCTTCTGGCCACCTTCCTCCACACCTCGTCCCGACTCCATCCCATCCCCGGCGTCTGTGTTGCAACATCACCATTGCGCGGATTCAGCGTCTCCCCGAGTCCTTCCTATGCAGCGCGCAGGAAGTGAAAGTCACAAAAGGTGGCCTAGCAGGGCTCGGTCTCCCAGCGTGCTCCAGACCAGCTCTGCGGCACCAGGACGGCGGAAGTGCGCGCCTACGCTGGCGTTCGTGGTAGGACGGCTCCTGCAGCCCGCCTCTGCATTGCCGATTGGCTGCTGCCCCAGCGTCCTTCCTCTTGGCCGAGAATATAAACAAACTCCGGCCGGTTCAGATGGCGCTCAATGAGAGATTGTAACCCAGGAACTTCTGCACCAGGCTCTTTCCTTTGATACCAACTTCACCTTGTCTAAAGCACCTGCTTAGGCAAGTTTAGGCGAAAGCGCAGGGAGTGCGGTTGGATGCCGGCACCACACGCCGCGCCAGCCCCGCCCCAGAGCGGGCTTAGCCTGCCATACACACAAAGTAAATAAATAAGTAAACCGTTTACTCCTGAGATTCCAGAGCTACCCCTGTATTCCTAATGGCCTTACTGTGCTGCTTCTGAAAATGGGGTTACTTGGGTGCTCAGAAGGTTCCATGGTTGGTGTCCTCTGGAAAAATTAATCCCTTGATGTAAGAAAATATCAGACGTGCAGGTCAGGCCAGGACCAAATGAAACGGAAGCAGGACTGAGCGTTGACAGATCGGTAAGTGAGAATGAGTCAGGAGGCTCCTTTTTGAGATTTTCACACTCTCTCAATCTATTCATTTTCAGCCAAAAAAAAAAAAAAAGATAATAATAATAATAATGTATGCCTCCCAAAGGAACACAATTATTGTGTAAGTGAAGAAATTAGAGTAAAAGGGGCTGGTGAGATGGCTCAGTGGTCTAAAGCACCTACTTAGAACAAGGTTAGCAAAGCTCAGGGACCGCGGTTCAATCCCCCAGCAGCACATGCCAGCCAGCCCCGCCCCCTGGTGGGCTGAGCTGGCCACACACACACACACACACACACACACAAATAAATAAATAAGAAAATAGGGATCCTTTAAAAAAATTAAAAAAAAAAGAAATTAGAGTAAAATGCGAGGAATGTTTTCAAAAGAGTAAAGATGAAAGGAAAGTGAACATTTCCACTTCCATAGTTAAGCTTCATTCTTCACATACGGTTGATCAGCTTTAATTCGGACACCCTACAAAGCAAATATAAGTTAAATGACAGATGAAGAGATATTTTCCTTGCTCATGAAACGATTTTTTGTCTTTATCATTACCTATTATTTTGAAGAGCTAGGGTCAAAGAGCTATGGACAAAAATTGTACGTAGGAGAGGAAAAGAGTATTTGAGAGCCAGTTCAAGAGGTCAGCAAATAAAATTTGTAGAATTTGTACAGAGTGGTGGCAAGTTTCAACCTCAAAGTCCACCCAGTGCAATATGCTTCCAAATGCAACTGCGTTCCCCTCTTCACATTTATTTTCCTAAAGTGGACATGGGTTTCAACAAGCATGACTCTTCACTTACCTTGTACCTGACTGTTTTGAAATTCCAATCTACTAAGGAGTTTTTATTCTTGAAATAATACACTGTTGGTCTTCCCATTTTGACCTTTATCCAACACTTAATTCTTTTTTTTTTTTTTGGCGGAACCGGGGATTGAACTCAGGCCTTTGCGCTTGCCAGGGAAGTGTTTAATCCACTGAGCCATCTCCCCGGCCCAACACTTAATTCTTTAGTGTAGTTTTTTTGGATTCATGGATCTCCTCCTCTGTCAAAGTCAACAGAACCCATGAGATTTATATGGGACATATTTGACTTCTGTGGCCTTTCTGCATGTTTATGGCTTGGTTTTGGATATGCATGCTGAATACCAGAATTATTTCTCTAAAAGCAGAGTCAAAGTGTCAAACCTGCATGGTGCTGACATTGTATGTAGCTTCTACGGGTACAAGATGGATACAATTTTCAGAAGCTTCCTGCTCCTTCACAGTCTAGTTCTTATTTTTAGTGCTTCTCTCTCCATGCCCAGCATGCCCACATACCTTTAGTTCAAACTGCTTTTGCCATCAGTGTTGAAATTGCACATTTTTTTCCATAGTTAGTTTCACTCTCCCTCCAGTCATGTTCCCACAAAGATCCAGTCCTTTGTCATTTTCTCGCATTGTCACCACTGTCAGGTCTGTGTTCATTCTATTTGGAAATGATGCACCTACTGAGAGACAGAAATAACCAAGAAGAAAAGCTCATTTCTATCCTCACCTACTCAGGGCTCAGATGGAGACATTCTCTTACCCTGAAGCTTGGAGTAAAGTGTGGTAAGGTAAGCCACGGGCCTTCAGCAGTCCATGAACAGTGAAAAACTAGGCCAAGGAGTGCTAGATGTTGTCTGGAAGTTGTCATGTTTAACTGAGACCTGAAGTATGTGTTTATGATTGACATGATGTGAAGAAGTGACATGGATGATTAATTCCCTTTGAGACAGAAGAGACAGCATGTGAATTTTGGGGAACATGCAGATGGGACTGTCATGACTTTACATTTTGTTAGTATATTCATGGTTACTAGAATGTTACCACAGAAAGCACTGTGATGCACACCTTCACAATACTGTGGATTTTCTCCGTAGTTCTTCTGAGTCAACACCTCCAGGTGAGATTGCTAATTAAAAAGTCCTCCATCAACCTGAAAAATACTGTACAACATGAATCAAGGTGTCTGCAGCAATGTTTGTTTCATGCACATTTCTATGGCCGTATGCCTGTTTGAATGGTTAGTTCTGCCTACATGGAGGAGAATGGAGATACACTTGGACTTCAGATTATAAGCTTTTCATGTGCAGTAGGCTCCTCCTCACACTTTTCATTTCTCCACCTTTGAACACTAATATTCATACAAGTAAAGTACTATGTGGACTGATGTGGACACACTTGTTTACAATTGGTTGCATTTTTAATTTTTAAAGAGGATATAAAATAGTATTTAAACAGAAAAATTTCAAATGATACAGAATTTCACTAAAAAAATAATGTGACTTTCATAGTATGTGTTGTAATGTATAGTGTTATCTTCAAACTAGTTGTTCATATTACCAGACATATGCATGCAAAACTGGAAGAACAGAGAAAAAGAGAATGAAATATATAAGAAATTAAGAGAAAAAGGAAAAAAATTTAAAAAAAAATGAAGTACCAACTACTCCTTTCTATAGACCAACAGAAATCCACAGGATAGTTGTCCAAACCATTCTACTTATATACAGATATATACTCTTTTATATACAGATATATACTCTACTTATATATACTCTTTCCCACTCCCTCTCCTGGCTTTCTCCTCAACTCAGCAGTTCCTTCCTTTTCAATAGGCTCATTCCCTTTACTCAATATCAAAGGCAAGGAAGACCTTTCTATGCTAGGTGAGCACTGACTGACCACAAACCCCATATCCTCACATCCACAGTTGCATATTTTTGTTGAGATCTGCTGACATTTGACTTTGTTTCTTTGTGATTTAGAGACAGGATGTCATTAGATAGTCCCAGCTAGCCTCAAACTCACTTTCTTCCTGTTTCAGCCCCCATAATTTCTAGGGTTGTAGGCTTGTGCACCACATCCAGCTTTTGAGTTTTATGTGCTGTTTTTATTCCTATCAGCTCAGCACATTGGCCAAGCATTGGCCGTGACTCATCAACATGGCTGCACTGATAAAGGTTCTACAATCTGAGGTACAGGATCTCAGGACAAATCCTGAGGGCATTTCACTGACCTTCTCAGACCAAAAAGCTACAACTCTTGTTGCACAGGTCCTGCTTTACCTTGGTCTTAACCATCCAGTAGAAAAGTATGAAGACGAAATATAAGAAATAAAGCCATGCTGTTAAGTTAAGCTGTGGGGGACTCAGGTCAATAATTTCTGACATTGCCAGTTAAACAGAAGACCCAATGCTATTATGGGCTACTGGACTCTTTTAGAATATTTTGCTGAGTTTACACACCTATAATATACAACAACAGAACTTAGAAAAAATGGGGTATACAGATGAATGTCCATTTTGTATCTGTGTATTCAAAGTGGTTGGGATAGATATATAGTTACATTCTGTTAATGAATAGAATGATTTGTTCTAAAGGTGTTTGTAAATAGGATCACAAGTCCGCATCTTGTACAGCAATTAACCACTAAGAAGAATATATGCAGTGTATTATTTGTTGAAAAATAAAAATAATAATAATAATAAAAAAATAAAAAAAAGAAAAATTATAAAATTATTCCTATCAGCTCAAGTATGGTGCTCTTTCAGAGCTGTGAGAGCCCTAGCGCCACACAGAGCCTAATTCAGCCAATGCAAAAATGCTCCCTTCTCTGCAGCCTCCTGGCCTGGCTGAGAACTTGTGGGCACTGTGCCAGGGAGCACACTCAGCCTGCGGATCAGTGGCGACCTGAAACGGCCCAGGCAGGAACTGCAAATTAGGTGGGACAAAGGCCTTCTGACCACAGCAAGGCTTGATGTTGCTGTGGGTTCTTTTTCCCCAGCAGACTCTGCTGTGCTGAATGTTCAGTGAGCTGATTACCTCTATGTTTATGCCAAGAGTTCATCCTGAGCAAAGTCCAGGAGATAACTCCAACCCAGGTGACCATTGCTGTCTGGCTGCAAGAGGCAGCCCTTACCTGGCACCTTGGGACCAAACCAGATTGCCATATAAGCCAATGACATTTTTTCCTGTACTTATTTCTTCTCTGTAGAGTCTCTTCAGTTTTATGGTAGGTCTTCTAACTTATATCCTAATTAAAGTCATTTGTTATTTCTAGAATTTCTCTTGCCGGGTCCTATAGGATTGTTTTACTTCATTAAGTTGATACTAGGAACATTTTAATTTCCCCCTTTCCAGTTTATTGTCTTCTTGCACTGGCCATAAACTCCAAAGCACTACTTTTCTTTTCTTTCTTTCTTTCTTTCTTTCTTTCTTTCTTTCTTTCTTTCATTCTGCAGGGTCTCACTATGCAGCTCAGACTCGTAGTGATCCTCCTGATTTCTGCCTCCCTAGTGCTGGGATTACAGGCCTGCACCACCACGCGCAGACTCTGTCGCCAGCTCAGTGTACCCAGGGGTGGGGCCGGTGGGGCATGCAGTGCCAGGGATCGAACTCTAGCCTTTGTGCTTAC